CGTAGTTCGGCTGGTTTAGCTGTAAGGAGACAGGAAATGACCGCAGCGAAAAGCTCCTCGGGACATATATCATATTATCCACCCGGGGACTATGATCAGTTCAGGAACAGGAAAGCAAATGGCCGTGAATCATGAACGGAAAATGGTTGTTCTGTAGGTTTGAGTAACTACGAAAGTTCATAAACGAATCGAAAACCTCACGAAAACACCGCAAGCATTATGCGTGCATTCACAAATAATAATCGAATGTCTTTCAAGCTATAGCCTCATGTCATCCTATTTCCAAGTATCTATCGTTTCGAAAGCTTCTCTCAATCAGTTTTGATCTATGAAAGATTACACAACAGAATACTGGACAACTGACATCATTTTTTGTCTCATTAGTGAATGACTCTGATGAGACGAAATTGGTAAATATGAGCATCTATATCCCGTATTCACCTTCATTTCCTTTTAATTTGATGTTACCATTGAGAAATTCGTACCGCAATAGTTTTTATTATGCACTAACTAAACATGTTGATCATCTTTGTAGTTTGGCCGTACAGTTCAGCACGGAAGTCATGCGAACTGCGTTACCTGTCCGAAATTGAATACCCACCGCAAGATTGCCTTCAGCGGTGATTTCTCGCAATAAACGTAGTTCGTACGTTCGCATACATCACGCACTTCTGTTGCTGTTGTTATGCAAGACAAACAGAACTACACGACTCGCCNCTCGCCCCCCCCCCGCCCCTCGGCCGTATTTGTGTTTCTTGTTCCCATCCCGAGTCTACAATTGGGTCAACTGCAAATTCTATGGGAGAGTTTTCCAATTTTGCACAACAGGAGCTGTATCTCTCAGTGGGACTATGCTTAGCTAACCACAAACAGAGCGGACTCGCATGACGGCCCAATCTGTCAAATGCATCGCATGTCCAACCCGGCCACTTGGACAGAGTATCCTAACTTCCTGACATCTGACGATATGTGGAACTTTGGCGAATCTTTTCTATTCCTGATTTCCCCTCTTTGTCGGATTTCGCTCCTCCTTGAATGTACTGTTTTGTTTTTTGCACTCGGAGCCGTTCGTATACACCCACTGTGAGAGATGCAGTCGAAATACGGCTTAAGAGAGCCGAGTGAATAGTGTTCATTAAAAGAACTCAGCTTGAGACGTGTGAACTTGGCATTTTTCTATGATCATGTCTTTATTGCAAACTGGTGGTAAACTTTTGTAAGATAATTGGTCGGGATTTCTTGTGAAAGACAAGTGGCAGTGAGATGTATCACAAAGCTTTCCTCAATTTCATCTTTAGTCTCTTTGTAAACGATTATTCAAAATACCGCTTTTCTCCTTTGACCGCATTCTCTCTTGTCAGCGCCCGTCCGCAATCCCATATCACTGACCGGTGACCTTGGAGATGAAGTGGACACTATGCGGACAACAAATAGACCACGCGTCGGAACACCCAGAGAACGTAAGTTTGGGTTCATTAAAGTTGAGAAGGCTTAGCAATGGAAAATGATTTAAAATAATCCGAAATTACGGTGACGCAAGAGGCAACAGACAAGCGGTTAACCTCATTGTCATTGGATCACGTCGGGCCCCGAAATTAGAGATTTGCACTCTACCGGCACCCTCAGTTTGTTACTAGGCGACTAGTTGTAGCCGGGCTCAATCTCAGGCGTACCCTATTAGGGAAGCGTTTCGCGATTCGCCAATTCCATTACCAGGGTTTAAATCACACCGATTGCCACAAATGAACTGCCAGATTAAGCAGTTATCGAATTCGTTTGTTCTGTTGCTGATAACACGATGACGGGTAATAAATAACCTTACTAATTGAAAAGCCACTCTGCTCATTTGCATCGATCAAAGGAGAAAATAAATAAAAACTGATTGGACGAGCTGTTCTTCCACGGTCAGTCGAATCTCACATTCGTGGAACACTTTTTTATTCCTAGGGGACCACACAGTCCACTCTCGTACACGAAAAACTGAATTCAAACCCGATTGTTAAAAATCCTCCCGAATCAGGGAATGTTGTCGGTTTTCCGGATGCACTATTCTTGGTTGGAATAGAAAACTATTGGCTCATTGATTGCACTGGCGTCGAGTGATCTAAACTGCTATCAGCGTTGTGTAATATGCTGTTTAACGAAAACAACCACCAGCGTTATTCAGTCTAAGTAGAAAACGTATCATAATGAAATTTCGCGCTTATTGCTTTTCTTAATAAAGAACAAAGTTTTATTATTGGTAAACCACAAAGCTGTTGCTTACTCACTCCTACATAATCTGTACACAGGGCTCAAACTCTGGGACACTATTGGGCGCGAGCATCAACATGTCATGCACAGGATTAGCTTATTTAAAAATAATGATTCAATGATAGATAATTTCATTAGGGCAAACATTTATTATATTGCATTAAAGAGGGATTTTCCACCTTTCCTACCAACTGTGTTATGCGAAGCCAATTTATGGATCCCATTTTCTCACACGTTTGCTGTGGCTATGCCAAAACGCACGATGTGCTTAGTCTCGCGTTTGTGCAAATCTATTTCATTTTCAACACAAATCACATCTAGCCTACAGTTACTTAATAAGTAACTCTATTCGGGTTGTATCATTAGATGGCAAATCCGATGCGCTATCCATTTTTGCTGCAGAACAGTAGTTTGGTCTGTTGCTACAGGGTTGAATTGAGGTACACTGGAAATGGCAATGTGGCTTTCCGGAAATAAGGTGTATCAGTGAATCTCCAGTACTATTGTAGCCATAACAATAATTTGTATTTGTCGCCTTTCAGTACAAATAGTTGATACAACTCCGAAGGAACTTAATATTATTTTGTTAAAACAATTTTACTAATCACTATCATTCGGTCTTAATTCATGGAGCATGATTGGTCCTGGATAAATGCAGAAGTCGGCGTGATACCCTTTTTGGATCAATTTATTTTAATATATACATTTGCTTAGTTGAAAACTGAAAGCCAGTAAATATTCGTATTCATTGAAATAGTGTGATCCATTAGGACCTTGTAGAACTTTGATGATGTAACATTACGATGTAGTAATCTTCGTTGTTCCTCCTGTGACCTCTGACACACGAATCATCTGGGGCTGCTTGCATAATTAATTAACTAGTTAATTATTTAAATAATTCGTCTAGTAGTGACCGGGCATGATGTACGAGAGAACAAACCCAATCGCATTCAAAATAAGTGATTGATTTTCACTAGAATATCTATTTGATAAGCAACCCAAAGCTAAACCTTCCGGAGCAATTTGAGTCAACACAAAACTTATGGGAAAATTGTGCTGGTAACCAAGTTGGAAACAAGCAAATCACTATTAATAGTAAGGAAAACTCTTCACCTACCTTTGATATATGATAAATATATTTTAAAGATTTCAATTAACTCTGCACCGACAAAGTCCACAATACACATTTTTCATTTTGCCTATGCCAGGCTAACGGTGGCTACCATGGCATTCTGCAGGAAACTGTCGACAGTTCAGTCTTATCCCACAGATTAGTAACACTGCACCTAACATAGTCCCTTAATAAAATGGGTGATCTCAGAATGGAGCACCATCCACTTGGATGAGCAGTCATCTGCTAGCCCCTGGAAGTTTGGTGATTTAACAAGCGATTATAAGCATGGATAAGCCGCGCAGTCACACACCTACAAATGCCGCATTTGACCACGCCTTACCGACCTCAGTGGACGGGGAGTGAGAGAGAAATTATCACATTGAATCCGAGTAATGGTAAACGACTCCGTGCCTTCCCCTTTGATCGATCCAACACCGTGTAATCGAGTGCGCAAGCTGGCGCGATACACACTCATAGACCGAGTTGGGATGAGTCATTTTCTCACATTTAAGCGATAAATGAATCAAACATTGCATTTTGTGTTTGGATAGAAAATAAAATAGGATGAGGTCACGAAAGTGGTCTTTCACCCGTTCGCTCGAGGGTGTGCGCCTGCGTGTTCGCTTATGTACCAGCTGCACGGTCGCATCAGATTCTCTGCGCATTTCATTGCTTGTGGCACTTGCCAACCCATCTCCGCGAATTCACGTCCCAATCTAATGATGATTCAATCCATGGGTCAAATTGATTGTAAACACCACTCTTGAGACTTTCAGTGTCACACGTGGATAATAATGGCCAATCGATCCTCGCTACCGATGAGCAGTTGTATTAGTTGTGCCTAAATACAACTGGATCGTGTTTTTCTCCTGAGGAGATTGCGAAACTCAAAGACGAATATTCTAAATAGTCACAGTGCAGAAAAAGGCCAGAGGCGAACCAGTCCGCCGATGCATTTTCACGGTTTGATTTATGGACCGAATGTTTGTTGCATAGTGATCCATCTCTGAGGCATCCGATTTAGTGAAAATCAAAGCACATTGTCCTCATATCTTTAAGGGAATTTGGTCGTTTTTCAGCCCACAGTGATGGCTAAGACATTCAAAACCAAGCGATGTGTCAGCCAAATATAGAGCAAATAATTAGTCAATCACAAAACACTCAACTAAGAGAAAACAACATCCCCGTTTGCTAAGGAATGACCAGGTTCATTTAAATGATATACCAAACAGCTCTAAGGGACTTTTCTACACATGAAATATAGATTAGCCGGGGTTCACTTTGTCTATCGCAGTCGATTGTTATTAGTAATTCCGGTGGTCGTTTTGAAAACACTCGGATGATCAACATTCTTAGAAGCAACAAGCGAGCTCCACTGGAGACAAGAAATTCAGATATTCGTTAGGAAAACACCACCTGTTTTAGATATTCTCGATTCAAGCAAGATAACAATGCTGGGAAACAGTGATTCAAAATAACATCGGGATAATTCTTCAGTGTTTTGCGTGGCCCATGATTGGAGATCGTTAGATTATCCCATTGCGTAACATAAACTAAATATGGTGCACAAAGTTGAACGCAATCATTTTCCAGAAGTTGATAAACAATTGCTGATCATTATCTTGGATGTGCTGTCCCCTCATCGTACATTGTTTCCACTTATATTCATAATTCATCTGCAACTTGCGAACACAAGTTTTGAATTAGGCAGAAAATTTAGGACTGTTAGCTTGTTTGCCATTCCATAATATTTCATTCGTTCCTCTTCGTCACGTCACGAATAAATCTGTTCTTCTACCTGCCTGGAACTGTTTAAAATGAACTAAGTAGATGGAGAGTTTTCCGATCTTCGTTGCTCTCCCTGTTTCATGAACAACGGATGGGCATCATTCATCTGAAACAAGTTCAATTCGATTTATTAAGCAAATTGTGGTCAGTTATCTGTGGTGGTTCTAAGCTCATTGAAGTAGAAGAAATAAGAATGTGTAGGTTCCCGATTGTGTGAACTTGAGCACTATGACAATTTAGTATCATGCGCAGAATCAGCGATTGGTATTTAATTATTTGAACTAATACTTAAGACTTCTTGAATAATCACCATTGATTGCCAACCTGATACATTTTCCTCAGTCCTCAAACACTTCTCGGCCACTTTTCAACATGAATCAACGAAACAATCAATGTTGCTATTATATTATCATTTGGTTTGACAAAATACTACGTGGTTAATATAATGTATCATGGTGCTTAAGTGAACCACATCAATCTAATTCGCTTGGGGATAACGTAAACGCCACACTTGTAATGTTTAAATTGTGAATGTTCAGTCAGCTGGATAATGCCTAATTGCGCGTTTGGCTTTCTTCATAATTTAAGCGTAAAACTTCGATCTGAGGAACAGTATAATAAAAAAATTATCTCTTTTCCTCAAAAATAACAATTCGTCCTTTATTATGTTTTGCTTCAAAATGTGCTCTTTGTCTTTGATTTGTCTTATTTTTCCGATGAAAACGTTCGTGGTGGTCTTCAGATATTCCCATACAATCATATCTCCGAATCTCGCATTTTAGCCAGAATTTCTGACCACTCCGTATGAAACACTGGCTCCAGTCTCTCTCTCTCTCTTCTCCTGTCTAGGAATAAACTTTCGTTTAGTTGAACACTGCTTGATCATCTCATGCGTTCTTCACTCGTATCATAAGCTCCATTAACTCGGGCTTCACAATGTCTCACCGTTATTTCTTCCCATTCTCTCTCCAATTCTGTCGTTGATTTTTGTCTCTCAAAGGCGACTGAGAAAATTCATTTATCGACTGATATAATGTTTTCAATTCACTCTGGGAATTATCAAAAAATGATAGTTTTACTAGGGTAAATCACTAAATCTCAAGCCCGGTCACCTTTAGTCATGCAGTTATAGATTGATTGCAGTAAAAGAAGTGAAAACGTTATGTATTTTTACTGTTTGCCATCTTTTTAAGAAATCCTTTCACAGTTGATGTCATTCGGTTCAGAGGCTAATAACTGCCGACCAGAACCACACCCTCACTTCTGAGGATTTTTTCTTTATAATCATTGACTGACGCTATTCTCCTCCATCCTCCAGTTTGGATACAATTTCTAGATCAAGGTTTTCTGTCATTGAGAAAAGCCGCAAAATGCTTACCCCGGAAGTCTCCAACAATTCTGTTATTGTAATCCATGACACGGTTCTTTCTTTTGGCGTTTATCTTATCGGAACATCTGAATGGTATTCCCACAAATCTACTACTAAATTCAATGTTATTGGAAGGTTAACGAGACGTGTAGTGACAACAAATTTGAATGTTAGTCGCTATCGTTAAAAGGAAAGTGAACCTGCCAGTTCCCCAATTACACGCAAGTGACACATTGAATTCCGATCCACTCCCGCTCATTAGGAATTACGCAATAGTGATGTCTGTACTCCTGGTGACCAATCGACAACTGGTTTGCGAGTTACTCACTGGTCTCTTGTGCTTTATCCACGTTGGGAATCGAATGACTTGCTTTTCCCTATGACCAAGGACCAAACAAGATTGGGTTTGGTTGGACGCTTCAGGTCAAACACTATTAGGTACATCTATCTAACGGTGACTGAGATCTTTAAATTGTTTTTTTTGACTGTGCAATAGGGAAAACAAGTCATTCAAGTTCCACTACAGTCGCTTCATGGACAAATTGGTCAGTGAAAGAGAGAAATTGGTAATTATGCTTTGTCGCTGGGTCAGTTTTCGCTAAATCATACTGAAGACATCTACTGTCAGATGACACTGAATGCTTCAAGGAAATTGCCGCAAGGACTTGCTTTTAGTGCCGTTCGTATTATGGAATAACTACATTATCGATCAAACGTACCAGACTTGCATTACAAACCCGCAAGATCAGTGTCGAAATGACTTGCTTGTTTGAACGGTTACATGGGGTTTGGATAAATCGCTTCACATACAGCGAAACAGATAATCCGAAACAACCAAGTCTGGATCGGCGATTCCACAGCCAGCCATTCTGTTTGCATTTTCTGCTTTTACAATAATAAAACCCACTCCTTGGGTATTGAATATTGTAGGAATGCACCAACCGATACCTAATACTATTCACACAATTTGAGTAGCTTCACATTATACTTGTACGTTGATCCATATGGAACATGATGTATAATTATTTCTGCTATTCAACATAGACATGCGTGATTCGATCACACCCCGCTGGATCTACACCCATTTCAGTTTCAAAGTTGTCTATTCATTCGAAAACCTTGATCCCTTATTGAACTTGTGTTTAGCCTGAACCTTATCGATTTAATGGTGGACTTTATGGGGAGATATAGGTTGGCTTGCAATATCATCATTTATCCTCCTGGGCAATGGTAACCGGTCACTTACAGCTTTTTGACAACTCTTAACACGTTTCACACACATGCATTAGCACGTCTGAAACGTTGATTGCCATTTTTCCTATTCCTTTTTCAGATGTACTTCCTTCGATTGTATAGAAAATTGTATAATTTTCAGGAGAGCGAAAATGTTGACTCACAAGTGATATGCTTCTAATTTGACTTGAACTTGATCTGCACGGGATCTGCACACGCGACATATGTGAAAGAAAATCGAGATACCATGAGCGAAAGTTTCCGTTATTTGTTTAAAATCCGCAAACCGGTTGTGGTTAACCCTGCAATCAAGATTTTGCTTAGACCGCGTTTTTCCATTATCTGATGAACCTCTTCGTACACAGACCAAAACAAAGGTGAACTGAAAAGCAATGTAGCATTGTATACCACCATGTTGGTTTTCATTACCATTGCGACTCCGTGAACCAAAATGAGTGTCAAACACGGTACATTACAGGCAAAACGGAATCATGCTATCCACTGGAACACCAGGCACTCAATTAGACAGCCTTTCGTTTTTCTGCTTATTGTATACGTAACGAATTCGACCATGGGATTAGGTTCACTTATCTACGACTGCTCCCTTGTATCGCGCTATTTTTCTGAGATAGAGTGGAGAACTGAATTCTGGGATAAACGGGACATGGGAGACTAAACATCCCTGAGAATACTGGCAGGATACATAAAGAGACGGCGGTGATGTCTAAGATTTCGGGCAGTTTTGCCTTTAGCCAGGACGTCATTTTCAATGGTTTTAGTTCAGACGTTTGTAGGAAAACATCATAAATAAAAAAGAGTACCATACTGATGGTGTCAACAGTGCATAATTTCATCCCTCTCTCTCTATGTGTGTTCCAGTGCGAAAACTACGGAATTGTATGTGCTAGTCGCTTCAAGTCGGCTTTTTATAGATCGATCTAAGAATACAATTATGCGTACGAAGGTTCAATTGGATGTCAAACAAACCAGTCTCACCAGTAACTTCATCTTCCAAAGCGAATTTTATGCTGAGCTCAGCTAATAGTAGGGAAACTTCTATGACTATCAGGCGATAAAAATAGGGTTTTCCTGTAAGAGAGATCTAGGCTCACCAAGATGTCAACTTATCCTGCAGCTGTTTGTCTGTCAAACACATTTCACACGCACTGTAGCAAACTTTATTCCCCTTAAACTATCATTTGGTGCATTCCCTTCCTCACTCCCCATTTATTTCGTATTCCCCGTCAAATGACTCGCATTCAGCTCAGAGAGATCCGATCTCAGGCCGGGGCAATTTTGGTGACCGGGAATGGGATCCAATTTGGAAGTATAATGGCCGAATGAGACGTGCAAAAAGTTACAATGGTAAGTGCTCGATTATATGCCTTTACCGGGCCCTCCGTTTTGATAAACAATAATAAACCTAACGTACCGAGGCAATTGGTTAACGAGTGAATATGAGTATTGACCAAATGCCAAATGGTCGTCCAAACAGGCCACTTGCAGACAATGACGGCGTGATGATGAGTATTTATGTTCTTTCTCTCATACGGTCAGCATCCATTGCAACTAAAACATTTCGACAAAGCAACGAACACAAACTGATGAAACTAGATATTTCAGTTGTATCCATTTAGTTTTCAAAAAGAAAATGAAATCAGTCATCAAACATCAATTCCAGTTTCGCCGTACCTGAGAATTTGGCCGTTACACATGTTGCAAAACAAGTTCACAAAGCAACGAATGATATCACTCAACCCGAATCACATTACTAATTAAATGACTCGCAGGTTTCTCTGTCCACCTGTGATCTTCATTACTGTGAGATCGAATCTTACCTACATTGTTCATTGACCTGAGACTAAACCTCTATTTTCTTCAATGTCCACGGTTTACCAAATCTATCCCAATCTCGAATATCGAATACCGTAATCTCACAGCCCAGTAGAATTTCTCGTAATCAAAGAATACAGTAAAAAACGTAATTTACTGTAAAACATTCTGTATAGTTAGATATACAACAGCGTCACGTGCTTTCTATAATATAATTTCATTCTATCACAGTATATAGTATGTGAGCTTTCTAATGTACTTAGTAATTAACTGATATTTTTGTATGTTTCATGTCCCACTTTTCACCTTTTTTACCAGAATTGTAACGGTGGTCTATTTTTGGCTGAATACTTGTGTATAACTCGCTGAAGCTTCAATATAATATGATACAATATCTGAGGAGTAGCATTTCAAGTGCTGATAACAAGCAGTTCAAAGATTGTGCAACGAATGAGTCTTTCAACGGAGTAGTTCTACAATTATGGACACAGTATTTCACGATTATGATTCATCTGTCACGTGCCATTCCGATGCTAGATATATATATATATATGTATATATATATATATATATACATATATATATATATATAATATTGAAATGCTGTGTCGTATGCCTCGTCCTTGATAACGGAATAAGAATAGAT